AGGAGAGAGGAGGAGACACTGATAGATGCCTCCATATGCGCTCCAGGAGCAGGGGCTGACGGGGAAGGAGTCGAAGGACGGAGAGCAACTGAGGCTGGACACGCAGTCGAAGGAGGGAGGAGTCAACCTATCACAGGGGCACGAGGCAGCTCATGTGCCTCGCTAGAGCTCTCGTCGCCAACAAGAAGGTGCGCGGTTCCCTCCCTCCCTCCCTCTCTCCAACTCAACAACCTTCAGGTGATCAAAGCGAGCGTCTACGACCTCGGCAAGCTGATCGCAGGAGCTTCGAATCAGCTTGAGAATCTCCAGCAAGTCTCCGACGTGATCAACACCAAACAGCTCGAAAGGCTCTACTTCGAGGTAGAGAACAACACTCAGATGTTGGTCGACTCAGGTGCTGCCTTCGAGCGCTCTGGGGCTGCTCTCTCCGTCATGAACGTCGTGCTTGCTGGTTCCTTTGCCTTCGCTCTCCTCGACAGGCTCTGCACCACCTGGGTCAACGCTTCTCCTCCTGTCTGGTTCACCATCTACGTCATCCAGCCATTCGTCAACCCACCGGGCGTTTTCTTCTGCGCCAACCTTGTGTGGGTTTCAGTCTTCTGCTACGCTCTCATCCGCTACATGCGCTACATCACGTTCAAGGCCTCTGGCGTGCTGAACCTCCGCGTGACCGTCAACAAGAAGATCAAGTCAATGGTGCAGCTGGAGCTGTACCTCAAGGGTAAGAAGGTCACTATGATTGATGCCGCCACGGAGCCGACGGCGAGTGTGAAGAAGATAACTTTCAGGGAGAAGGACGCTCTCAAGGCATGCTGCTGTCCTAACATCCACCTACCGTCCTCCTCATTCTGTCCTACTTCCTCCTTCTACTCGTCGTCTTTCTGCTCCTCCCTGTTGTCCTCCCCTGCTCGTCCTTGAACCTCATTCCCGTTATCCTTCTCCTTCTCTGCTTTCTCCATCTCCTCCTCCTCCTCCTCCTTCTCCTTCTTCTCCTCTTTCTTCTCCTCCTTGTGTCTGCTTCTCCTTTGCGTTCCACTCATTTTTATCAACATCATCACCATCACCAACACCATCATCATCATCTCTATCATCATCATCTCCATCATCATCATCATCATCATCATCATCATCATCATCATCTCCATCATCATCATCATCTCCATCATCATCATCATCTCCATCATCATCATCACCACCACCCCCTTCTGACGTGCCTGCAGTGGCTCGGGGCCCCTCCTCTCGTAGAGATCACCATCGACACGCTCTTCCACTTCGTCCTCGTCCTCGACTTCTCCGTCGATAAGAAGCGGAGCAACGCGACGGAGGTCCTGCACTTGTTACATACCTGCGTCTGAGCTGATAGCATGACAGGACGATCTGATCAATATCCTCCTCCTTGACCTTGTGCGGTGCGGGGCAGTAGACAAACAGGAAACTGCGTCTTACACGTGTGCTCGTTTGTGAACTTGGTTTGGACAGGTTGCGTTCGGAGAGAACGGAGATGACATTGAGTTGCAGCAAGAGCAGGCAAGGGCAAGACAGGTACGTTGCTGTCAGATGTTGGGGCTGCGTGCAGTCGTTTACATCACTTTGTGCTCCTGTCAACTATCTACAGATGTGTGTTGTTCCCGATGTTTGTGATGGTGATGATGTCATTGATCCCTATCAGCATCTCATTTCATCTGGTGTGTTCCGACATCCTTCTATCACTTGACCTGTCTATGTTCCGACATCCTTTCTATCACGAGTCTACTATATTGGCAGGCTTGCTGATTGTCTCCTGACATGATCTTGGCAGCTACAACTGCAGAAGGACAGGTTCAAGATCATGCTGGGACTTGCTGGATCCCATCGGAGGAGGCAACGAAAACGATGATCATTGTCATAACAACAACTTGCTATCGGCAGCAGCTCCCCCGCTCATCTCGCCGTCCTTCCTCCCCCGCTTACCTCTGCTCCTTCTCTCTTTGTTTCAGTTTCTTCATTCCTTTGTTTGCATCCAATAAAGCTTTCAGCCTCCAGCCGATCGCCTCCTCCCTCCTCTCTCCTCCGTTTCTGCTACCTTCGGGAGCCCTTCCCCCTCTCTTGCAACCGTGAACTGATATCGGACGCGGTTGCGATCCGACGCTGCTGGCACATGCTTGAAGACAAGTTAAACAGTAGCGACGCTAGCATTGTGATTGTTACTTCAGCTTTGACTCGGGCACAATCACCTCGGCTATCCAGCCGGGCGGCCCGCCTGCATGCCATGATCCCCGACCGTACTGGTAGGCTCATCGAGCTCGGAGCATGCACAGTGAAGACAGCCCCCCGACCGTCTCAGGGCAGACGTGCCGCATGCTGAGTGGAGTACAAGTTTGATGGAGGACATGCATGTGATCAGTATAGTCTCCAGTGCGGCGGCCCGGTAGTACTGTACCCCCCGGCGGCTCGGCGGGACCCGGGCCGGGCGGCGCCGGGCGCCGGGTTGGGCGTCACTCAGGGATCCGGAGCTAGCCTGCCTCAGAGTCCGCCTACTCTCCGACAGATTCTACCCTCCTCTTGCTACCTCGTCTTGCTCCCTTGTTCCCTCTCTTCCTTCTCTTGCTACCTCGTCTTGCTCCCTTGTTCCCTCCCTTCCTCTTCCCCTTTCCTCCTTCTTTCCCAGTTCCTCTTTCTTCTCTCCTCCGTGCCCTCTCTCCCCATCCTCCGTCTCCCCGCACCACTGCCTCCGTTACTTTTCCTCGCCCATAATCCTTTGTTCCCATTTTATCACCGCCCCTCTTGTGTTGCTCCCTACAGCTCACCTCCCTTTGCCTGCCCCAGCTTCATGCCGCTCCGTTTCGCTTCCAAGTAGAGCAATAGGGGAGAGATGCGGGCACACGCTGAAGGTCTTTCCCGGCTGTTCCTGCGCTTCTTGCTGTTTGCTTCCATGTCAGTCAAGAGCATTCACATCACTAAGTTTGACAGCGAAGCGTCGGACACGATCTTCAGAACAGATCTTGGTGTTGCACATCAAGTATCGTTGACAGCAGACGTTCAAGGAGTAGCGAGTCCAGACATTAACGTGAAGGTGCTGGTGGTGCCTTCCAAGGAAAATATCTTCCTGCTCGTCCGTTGGTTCCACCTTGAGGAACGCTTCATCATGCAGGCGATAGACAGCAGCCTGACAAGTCAAGACATTACTGTCACTCTCCCCAACCTCCCGGTCGGGCTCTACGACGTTGGCCTGTGCTTGACATCAGTGCGGGTTGGAGCAATGACCGCATGTCTGAGTGAGAAGACGACGAGCGTGCGAGTGGTCAGCATCCATGCTCATGGGAACCTTTCTCCTCCTCCTCCGGCTCCGTCGTCCTCGTCATCGTCTTCTTCATGTTCTGCTTCTCCTGCCCCTGCATGTCGTGGGTTTGTCGCTCCCGAGGGTTCGTTATGCTCCGCCGATGGCTTCCGTTCGTGGAATGTGCAGGGGGTGAGCAGGGGACGAGGAGATAGAGCAGGAGACAGCGGAGGAGACAGCGGAGGAGACAGCGGAGGAGACAGCGGTGGAGGAGACAGCAGTGGAGGAGATAGAGGAGGAAGAGGAGACGGTGAAATAGAGGAGGGAACTCCCAACATGATGCGATCAGACAAGAAACAAGAAAGTGGAGACGACGAAGTTGTTGTTTGCTCGCTGAAGGAATTCCTAGATTTCACCTGTGCTGATCGCAGGTGAATGTTGGTTTTATAGATATTGTAGCTGATTGTAACTTTGTGCAATCTGTGACGATGCCGACTATGACAATCTGAATATGAAGAACAAGCGACTTCAATGGATATGACTGCAAAGCAATTAAGAATACCTCTGTCTCATCTCTTAGTTTGGACAAGAATTCATTCCAATGCAATGATGTTGATCACATGGAAGCAGCAAGAATTCTGTGCTTCCAGTAAGACCTTGACATCTTGGAATGACAACGGCTGATGATTTGAGCAGGCAGGATGTCAGTACCGGAGAAAGTTGTGATAGCAAGCTTCTTGAGCAGCACTCACACCTTCCGTCCCCTGCCCATCTTGCAAGGATGAAGAAGGTAGATGGGCGCTTTGGGTTGGTCTCAAGCAATGATGACTTGTCTGTGTCGACAACAGTTTGCTGCTTGCACTGTTGATAAGGACAAACAAGCTTTGTTCGGGGAGATCAGCGCGATACAAAATCCTGATGTAATCTCTTGCGAACTCGTCCTCATCCTCGTCCTCGTCTTCATGATCATTGTCATCACCGTCTGATCTGATCTGATCACATTGACCTCTGACGTGTTTGATAGGATTGCTCCCGATATGTTCCTGCACCTTATCCAAGTGAGAAATACGCGATTGTTCTCGCTGCTGCTTCTGCTGCCGTTGCTCCTCCCTCTCTTCGTTTCCTCCTCCTCCTCCTCCTCTTTTCTCTTATGCCCTTTTACTCTCCCTACGCATCTTGTTCGTTTCTTTCCTCTTCCGTTTCATCCCTCTATTGTAATACTCTCAGTCCTTATTCATAATTCCTCGAGCGACAGGTTACGGCTTTGCCGCTACCTTCCATTACGCTGCTCTACAGCTGGGACGGTTGTTCTCTTCTTTCTCCTCCTCTTCCCGCTCTTCCTGCTGCTACTACTGCTCTCCTCCCTCTTCCTTCTTCATCCTCCTCCTCCTCTCCCCCCCCCCTCCCTCCTACTCCTCCTTCCTCCTTCCTCTATCTCCCCCGTCCTCCCACATCTGCTCATCCTGCTTCTCCTTGTTTTTTTCTTGCTCATATGACGGCAGGGCATTGAGATCAAACTTGACTATCTCCTTCGAAGGTTTCTTCTATCTCCTTTTTGTTGTTGTTCTAGCACGTTGCAGTTGCATTTTACTTGTACATGTACATTTACGTGTCGACGAATTGTTCATGTATTTGTACCTTCATTTGTGCCTGTTGTCGACTTGACAACTTTAGCATTCTATCACAAATAATCGTCGTTTTCCTCCTTGTTCTGTGGTTTGTTTCCCGCTTCTTTCATTTTGCCAGAGTTTGTGATCCTGATCCTGATCCTGATCCTGATCCTGATCCTGATCCTGATCCTGATCCTCATCCTCATCCTCATCCTCATCCTCATCCTCATCCTGTTTCTCTGTTCATCTTTCTCCGCAGGATTTTGGATCTACAATGATGAACAGTGCGACCTCCCAGGTTTTGACTGCCCGTTTCAGGTAAGCGGGAGGGCAAGGCCTGGTCAAGAGAATGAGGAGGAGGAGGAGGAGGAGGAGGATGAGGAGGAGGAGGAGGATGGAGGAGGAGGAGGAGGA